CCAGACCCGAAACGCCGACGCATCACCAACCTCGCCCGTCCACCGCAAAGTGGGGGAGGTCTCCGGGTGGGAGACACGGGGCCAGAGGTTGAGTTGCTCAGCGGCGTATCGGACCGCAAACGGCCACACAAAATGGGGAGCAGCCGCATGAATCATGGAGGTGCGAGCAACCTCCATGACAAGACCAATGTGGCGCTCGGCAATCCCATTCTGCTGTGGAGAGGCCGGAAGCGTGTACGTCTGGCGGATGCCCTCAGCACCACAGAAGTCCTCAAGGAGGTGGGACAAAACTCACCACCTCGGTCAGAGTGCAGCCGCAGGACAGGGAGGTCCTCACGGAACCGAGCGCGAAGCTGGAGACGAACATCCGCCTTGCTCTGCAAGGAAAAGACCATGGTGTAGCGCGTGTAGTCGTCGACTACCAGCAAAAAGTAGCGCTCGCCACCCTGTCCAGTGACGCAAGCGGGGCCCCACACGTCCATGTGCAGGGTCTGCAAAGGAGCAGTGGTAGGAGGAAACGAGGAGAAGTGAGGAGCGGCGCGCTGCCGCCCCTCAACGCAGGGAAGGCAGGGCTGTGCAAGCGATCTCGGGAGCGGGGGCAGGGACCTGGGGAGACCAGACACAAGGAGACGGGAGTGCATGCCACGCAGGCGTGGCAAGGAGGGGTGGTCAAGACGGTGGTGCCAGAGGAGAGTCTGGTGCGTGAGGAGACGACACAAACAAGACGAGGGGAACTCAACCGACGCAGCTACCTGACCTGACTCAGCTACCAGTGCAGACTCAGTGGTCAGTGTGTACAGGCCAGACCCAGGCCTCCAAGTGAACGTGGCGAGGTGCTCACCAGTGCGCGAGTCCGTACAGATCGCCACTAGCTCGCCTCCAGGCTGGGTGACAATGACCCATTGGTCCTGGAGGACAGAGGTAGCCACCAAGTTCTTAGCGAACGAGGGGAGGTGGAAACCTGTGAGGAGGCCGGAAGGGGCCGCCGGACAAGGGAGAACAGTGGCGCCACGCGCGACTACCGGGCCCCCAGAGGGGTCGGCCAGTGTGACAAGGACAGGGACTGTGAGCGGTGTGACTGTGGTGCTGTCGTGGAAGAAGCAACGAGAAGCGCCTGAGTCGAGAGTAAAAGTGTGCAAAGCCTCCTCAGGCTCTGCACCTGTGCTAGCTGAGTCAACAGCACCAAGACTAGCAGCCTCTACCCTAGCAACTCTAGGCACACACAGGTAACAGTCCTCCTCAACACTAGCAGAAGCAGCATACATCGCATACATGCCAGCATGAATCACAGCCCAGTCACAAGCAAAAACATCTATGTCCTGCTTCAGCAAAGCGAGCCAGTCAGGAGTCTTCATGTGCTCACCATGCTCCGCACGATACAGATTGTCGAGGCGAAAGAAGCAGCGAGACTCGGTGTGGTCAGTGCGAGAGCAGGTCGCTCCAGGCTGACCTGTGCGACGGACATACCCGCAGCGAGGTGGGCCACCTGAGCTGCCACGGCGGACCGCCCACTCACGAAGCTGCTGCGGCGAGAGCTGCGCCTGGCAGCTCGGCTGCTGCTGTTGGCCAGCCCCAGAGCCACCTCCACCCCCCGCTGCACCACGAGTGGCCGGACCTCCAGCCCCTCCTCCTCCAGCTCCGCCCCTAGAGCCACCCCCACCCCCGCCACCACCCCCACTGCTCCCTCCACCCCCGCCTCATCCCTTGCCGCCTCCACCTCCTCCTCCCCCACCACCTCCACCGCCACTACCACTGCCCCCTCCACCCCCACCACCCCCACCACCCCCACCCTTGCCACCCTTGCCCTTGCCGCTGCGGCGCTTCCCACTAGGAGCAGAAGCAGCACCGACCTCCTCAGCACCGAAGAGGTCAACAACAGCAGCAGAGTAACAGACGACGCGAGCAGGGAGGGGGAGCACCCCTCAAAGAGAGAGGGGTGGGGAGTGCCACGAGAGGCAGCGACAGCTAGGGCAGCAGACTCCGCCTCCAAGAGACGGGACTCGAACGGGTCGAGGGTGATCTTCGTGGGGTCTAGGGCGAGGAAGTGGTCGCGTACAGCACAAAGGGAGTCAGGGAGGCGGGTCGTGAGAAAGTAAAGGGTGAGATAAATAGGTGGCTTGTTCTCAGCCCTAAAGGTGGGCTCGAGGGCGGCAGCGTAGCGGGTCTCAAGGGAGCGCAGGTGAGTCATGAGGTCGGCTACAGTGGAGAAATCCGACAGCTCGGGAAAGAGGAACGGCAGCGCTAGACGGCCTACAATGGCAGACGACGGGGACGAGTAGCGTGTGACTATAGCGTCGTAAAGCGCCTTGGCCGTCTTAAGCTGGCGAAAGTGAGAGCGCTGGTCTAGCGGAAGGTGGCTACGGACAGAAAGAGCGGCAGTGGCGTCACGAGACGCCCACCTGGACTGGTCTACACGAGTAGCTGTGGAACCAGGGGCGTCTAGGGTCCCAGAGGTATGCTCAAAAAGCGAGACATCCTCCCTAGTCTGGCTCTGGAGGTACCAGTGAAGATCCTCTAACCAGGATTCGAAGTCTACCGGGTGACCCTCTCCGTCAAAGGTGAGAACAGTAGGGGCCGCCATAGCAGTAGAACAGTAGTAGCAGCAGCTGCAGTACCAGTAGCAGCAGTAGTAGCAGTAGCAGCAGCAAGAGCAGCAGTAGCAGCAACAGTAAGGCAGTGCAGCTCTGTAGGGACAGGGCAGCGCGGCTCGGGCAGGGCAGCGCGGATCGGGCAGGGCGGCGCGGCTCGGGCAGGGCGGCGCGGCTCGGGCAGGGCGGCGCGGCTCAGGCAGGGCGGCGCGACGCGGCGTGGTTTGGGCAGGGCAGCGCGATGCGGCGCGGCTCGGCAGGCAAAGCGCAGCAGCTCTGGCGCAGCAGCAGCAGCAGCAGCGCAATGCAGGCTGCAGCAGCAGGTCAGGCGCAGCAGCGGCTCAGGCGCAGCAGCGCAGCAGCAGCAGCGCGGTGGGCAGGAGCTGCGCAGCAGCAGCAGCAGCAGCAGCAGCAGCAGCAGCGCGCGGCAGCGCGGTTGGCAGGGCACAGCGCAGCAGCGCGTGCGGCAGCAGTAGCACAGGCGCAGCAGCGCGCGGGCAGTTCGTGGGCAGGGCAAGCAGCGCGCGGGCAGCAAATGCAGCGCGCGAGCAGCAGGGGCAGCGCGCAGGCAGGGCGCGCAGCGTGCAGGCAGGGCGCGCAGCGAGCACGGGCAGTGCGCTTGCAGGCAGCGCGCTAAGGCAAGCAGCGCGTGCAGTAGGCAGCGCGCTAGGGCAGGGAGAGCACGTGACAGCAGGGCAGCGCGACTCTCTTCAGTCAAGGCAGGACATCGCAAGGGCGCTACGGGCAGGGACAAGCGGAACTAACGGTGGGCCCTAAAAAAAAACGGTCCTAACCGGGACCTACTCTGAAACCATGTCAAAACGTGAAGTGTGGATTGATTAGGGTTGTGAGTACAAGTAGGAAACCCTAAGGGGTTGTACTCACTAGAGTATGCCCCACTACAGCCTAGAGCATACAATTACAATTTGACTGCGCGGTCATATAAGGGTCACGAACATAAATTTTGGATATAAAAGATCGCGCAATAACCAATATGAGCGCGCAAAGGTTTCGGGGATAAATGCCCTTGTAGGGTAATGTGCCGGGTAAAAAAATGGCCGCGGTAATCCCCTTGCAAGACCACTTGAGCAATTATCGGTTAAATGTAGAACCACGCGAGCAAATGGAGGCCACGTGTGCAACCCCCAATCTCCAAACACGGGTTTGGAGCAAATCTCTCGGCGCCTGCTCTAGAGGCAAGTTCGCTCTGCCTTGTTTGGGAAGCTCTGGTTAGATGCTGCTCTTGTGGCGAGTTCGCTTTGTCACCAAGCGAGCAGAAGCTCGTGCCACCACATTGTTGGTGGTTCTAATTGGCTACTATTCACAAGGTGGGTTCAGTTCGTCGGCGAGCGAGCAGCTACTTGCGTCAGCACTTTTGTAGGGCTGTGGTTGGCTCTTGCTCGCCCGACGATTTCGGTGGCAATTTCGCATTTCTTTTCATTGTTGAGGTGATCAAGAGGCGAGTGTTGCTGTTCATGGATCAAGTGTTTTAGGCACGTGACGAGCACCAGTTGGTCGACTGAATGAATTTGCGAGCACTCGCGCAGCGAGACTTCGTCATTTACGAGTGGTCGAAAGTTCTACTGATCGAGTTGCTGATCGCCACCGACATTTTCTCTCACGCAAAATTCGAACAGACTTCATCGTAATTGTTCGCAAATGGCGCGAAGAGTAATGTTCAAATCAGCATCGTCGGAATTTTTTGCGCGACATTTAAATTATTTTTGCGACGCATCGAGACCGCGCCAGGTTAGGAAATAAATTGGAGGGGAACTCAATATGTGTTCGCGCTACGAGGACTGAAACAGGAAATGTAAAACAGGATAGGAAAACTAGAATAGAGTAGGCTTAGTACACAATTATTTCCGGTAGCTCTTGCTTGTTTCAAATCAACTGGATCTTGCTGCTGCTGCGAATTTCTCTCTACACAACTCAGACCCTTGGATAGGAGCTCACCTTCGATCCGGCACCCAAGGACCCTCGGAGTTGACCCCGAGGAGAGTTTCCAGCATAAAATTAGGCCGTTAGTAGCCGTCTTAGTACGTTTCAATAACAACATCTTCCTCAGCCTATTAATCCCTCCGCGTACCTATATATGTCGTCAGCTCAGGATCACCAGCTACCAACGTTTTCGTCTCCCCGCGTCCCTCCCATTCCTGTTTCCAGTGAAATGGGTGGGCCATATGCATCATAAGTCTGGGAATAGATTCCTGCTCTTGAACAAAATCATTATTGAACAGACAGAATAGAGTGGGCTGAGTGGCTGGGGCTGCACGCTTGTGGCACAGAATGGCATGGGAACCAAAAGCTTGCCTTGCACCATTTGGAGACACACACTGTACACACTTGACAGAAAACCAATCATGGCATCAAAGTGTTTTTTCACAAGCTTCCAAGCTGTTCCGCCGGCCATCATGTCTGTACAGAGACAGCCGTTGTGTCACCCTCATGCATGACTTGCTCATTCAGCAACGCTAGATCCTCCTCCATGCTCCTCCGTAACCGCTGACTCGACAGCTTCTCGTCAACCCTCGCTGCAGCACTCACTCTCGCATCCCCCCCTCCCGCCTCCTCTCGTATAATTTCCAGGTATTGGGTCACTCGGGACATGGAGGGGCGGGAGGCGGTGGGCATGGCAGTGCAGGTGACAGCAAGGTGGGCAAGGCGAATGGTGATGTCATCAGGTGCTTCCATGCGGGGGTCCCTGAGGGGTGATGTCTTCCCTTCCGCCATGAGACCAGTTACCTGGGATGTGGGGCAGCACAGACATGATGGGGGGCAGGCAACACATGATGGAGGGCAGGAAACACATGATGGAGGGCAGGAAACACATGATGGAGGGCAGGAAACACATGATGGAGGGCAGGAATGGGGCCTGGGAAATACATGATAGAGTGAAGAGGGTATGATCAGGAGTGGGAGAATACATGATAGGAACGGGAAACCCATGACAGGGGCAGGAAACACATGCCTTGGGCGCAACAGGTGAAGCAGGCTTTGATGAGTGCGAGCGTAAGCAGTTGTGATTAGAGCACGAAGGAAAGAACAGTGCATACACTGCGCGTTAAATACAAACGCACCCATTTGGAGATGGAGATTGGCTCGTGGCTGGCAGAGGCGCACGACTCATTTGCTGGGCTGATCGCACTGATGGTGGCTCCTCTGCCTGACAGCATCACCAGCATGAGAACTCCAAAGCTGCACCACAAACCAAATCCAAGCACAAACAAGGAATAGCTCCCCTCAGATGAGTTCTTGGTGGCCGTGGTCTCGAAGGTTTGTTGCATTGATGGTGGGTCTTCTTCCCGGAGAAATTACCAACACGATGCCAAAGATGCGCGATAAAACACATTCAATTGAGGAACACGAAATGCTACACGCTCGAAAAGCTATGGGAAAGCCAAGCGGCATCTCGCAATACGAGCAAAGAATGCAAGTAGGAAAAGATGGCAATAGGTGAAAGGCAATTATTGTTTTGGGGGGATGTTGGAGCGCGCACTAAGCCTCGGCAAAGAAGAGGCTGTGGTTCGACCCACGTTAACGTCTACGTGTGTATGTACACACCAGTAACGGCGGTGGTGTAACATTCCCTGAAATACAGATCCAACTTGACTAAAACACGGGCATTCAAGTCTGCACCACATTTGAGGCGCCTCAAAACCGCGAGACATGAGACGACTTTTGAGGCGCCTCAAAAGTGGTGTCACATTCCCTGAAATACAGATCCAACGTGACTGAAACACGGGCATTCAGATCAGCAGCGCACCTGTAAACGTCAGCAGTGGTGGTGGCGTTGTGCGTGAGCGAGTAAGCGGGGTCCACATAGCCCACCGTTCCAAGCACTCGCGTGAAGCCCGTTGTTGTGCCCGCTGCTGCGCCCTCCCCCACGTGCACAAGCCCAAAGTCTGCCACCTTCGCCTGCGGAAGGTCGGGCACGACAGGCAAGAGGAGAGGTGGAGGAGGATTAAGGCAACATGGTCTCATCTGATTCAGACGGGATGGGGTTATCTGATTGGGGATGTGGATTGATATGATTCAAGGTGGTTGTAGTAACATCTCACCACCACACCTGCACTCCCTTCGATACGGGCCTGTGCCTTTTCCTCGCAAAAATCCGCATTGTCTAATCTCAAAGCGAATGGAAGAAGCATGAACGCCTTATCACTGCACCAGCATGTAAAGAAAGTGTCTTGCCAACATCTCATCACCGCACCTGCATGTGGGCGTCAATGAGGATGTTGGCTGGCTTGATGTCGCGGTGGACGAGGCCGAAGCTGTGCAGATACTCCAATCCACGTGCCACCCCTAGAAGGATTCCAACCCGTTGCTGCAGAGTCAAGCTCGTGGGCGCATCTGGAGAATGGCAGAGCCGAGGCAAGGTCGCATTGGAGGGAAGCAAGCATTGGGGGAAACATTCACATCTACGTGTTAGGAGGTGGGTCAGCGCACCCACGACCTCCCAAGCCATTTTGCTTGTAGCCCTTCCAGCCAATCCAAAGGCCAATTCCAGTGTCCTTTCCACACTCCTCTCACTGGAGTTGCCTCAAAGAATGGAAGGAAAGTTCACTCTTCACTCCTTGAAAAGTGATGACGCCTGGAATTGAACCCTGCCCCCCCAAGCAGGGACCCATTCACTAAGCAACTGGGACAAAGGGCACGTCTGGTGCAGTGGGTCAGCGCACCCAGGCCGCCCAAGCACTAAGCTTGTAGCCCCTCCAGCCAAACCAGAGGCCAGTGTCCTTTCCACACTTTCCTCACTGAGAGCGGCCTCACACAGAGGAAGGAAAGTTCGCTTTTCACTCCCCTGAAAGCGACAACGCCTCGAGTTGAACCCTGGCCCCCTGAGCAAGGACCAACTGGGTCAAAGGGCATGTTTGGGTGGTGGGCCAGCGCACTCAGGCCTCCCAAGCAAATAGCATGTAGCCCCTCCAGCCAAAACGAGGCCAATCCCAGTGTCTTTTCCACACAAACAACAATGGACGGGACAGTACCTGGGCCGATCCAGTGGCGCAGGTCGCCATTGGCGATGAACTCGTAGACGAGAATGTTCTCCACCTGCGTGTTCACATGGCCTCCCACTGCATACCCCAGCAGCCGCACCAGATTGGGATGGTGCTTCGTTGCCATCTGCGCCACCTGTGGTAGAGCAAGAGAAGAGGGTGGGGCCGGAAGAGATGGAGGGACGGACGCAATGCAACACATCCAGACAGATGTTTGTGTTATGTACAAGCATATTGGTTTTTTGTACATTACCCATGAGAGAACTCATTTTCACTCTCATTTCGGCAGCGTAGTACCCACAAAAATGGAAGAGAGATACGAGATACGAGATACATCAATAGTCTGATGTTACCAGACTCCACATGGAAATTAATCGAGAAGTTGTCACACCAACATTTTCTCCCCCGATCGCCCTTTCTTGTCGCAAGCCAGGAGATGTCCCATATGATACACTTCTTTATAAGACTCCGGTTTCGAGGCGCTCCAAGATTAGTCGCGCCGGTGCCAGCTTGGCCCACCTACTCCCTCCCCACCTCTCTGTGGAAGTCAGCAGTGAAGACTTTGGCACGCTTCACGGCCCACACCTTCAAGACTTCCCTTTCCACACCTGCAAAGCCCCAACAATCCTGCTACGTCACCTATCCATCCCCACCTCTTTGTGGAAGTCGGGGGTGATGACTTTGACACGCTTCACGGCCCACAGTGTGGTGCCATCCTCGGGGCACACCCCGCGGTACACGTCTCCATACGACCCCGACCCAAGCAGGCACTCCTTGGACCAGCTGTTGGTTGCACGAGCCACCACAGCCAGGGAGTACCGTCGGCATGGTGTCGTTGCGTTCCCTAGTTGCGGGGTGGGGGATTCTGTTGGGAATATGTTGGATTTTGTGAGAAGTAATACAGGCAGGAACAGAGCGGCTTTGCAAGTTATGTTGTATTATTTTTCTTTTTCTTTTTGTGAGAAGTAACACAGGCAGGAACACAACGGCTTGGGGAGTTATGTTACGCAAACGATATGGAGTTGATATGCTGCTCGTTGCTAAAATCCGACAGAATTGAGGTGGTTCTTACGCACCTGTCTGTGCTCCCTCACGCACCTGTCAGTACTCTCATGATAGAAGGAAAACACGTAACATACCTACCTCTTGTGGAAATCTTGAAGTGGGCGGCAAGCCACCAAGCTGAGGCGAGCAGGAGAAGCAAGAGCAGAAGGGCTGCTGTCACGATTCCAATGACAGCTCCCACAGACAGGCCGGATTGGGAGGAGGAAGCGGATGAGGTGGAGGAGGGGTTGACGGATTGATTGGGTGATGGGAATGGTGGAGGGGAGGCCACAAATGGTGATGGGGGTGGGGCTGCTTTGGAGGGACACATGCACAGGCACACCAGACTCACAAGCCTTTAAACACCAGAACCATAAGTGTTGAAGCACCAGAATCACAAGTGGTGAAAATAGTGTTCCTGCTCTACACGCATGAAGCTGGAATGGAATACAAGGCACAAACTGGCGTTGAATGGCATGGCGTGGCATTGGCTCGCATGATTAATTGGTAAGGGAATGACATTGACTGGCATGACATAGCATTAATTGGTGGAATGACATTGGCTTCCATGACTTTGCATTCATTGGTGGGGGAATGGCATTGGCATGGCACAGAAGCTCATTCACTCATAGCAGAAGCACCCATTGGGTTGGCTCAAAAGTCATCTCCGTACCGCAAGCACCCTTTGGGACGGCTCATAAACTGCAACGCTCCTACCAACTGAAAAGCTCACATTCATCACTTGTGCACGTGGCACAGAAGCCATGGCAGTCCTGGCAGAAAGCACTGTAGTTCCTTTGCCGAACCACACAGCTGGAAGCATTGGGGGGGCAAGTGAGACCCGAACCTGATATTTCACTGTTGGATGGAGGGGACAAAACAGGGCCGAGGTTATCACACGCATCAAAGGGGAGTGCCAAGGCAAGATGAGAACACAGGAAAGGGACGGCAAATAGAAAGATGTGTCTTATGCATAGATGCAGCCTGCAATAGGAAAGGGAAAGCAAGAGGACATGGTGGCGAAATCAAAAGGACATGATGGCGAAAGCAAAAGGACATGATGGCGAAAGCAAAAGGACATGATGGCGAAAGCAAAAGGACATGATGGCGAAAGCAAAACGACATGATGGCGAAAGCAAAAGGACATGACGGCGAAAGCAAAAGGACATGATGGCGAAAGCAAAAGGACATGATGGCAAAAGCAAAAGGACATGATGGCGAAAGCAAAAGGACATGATGGTGAAAGCAAAAGGACATGATGGCGAAAGCAAAAGGACATGATGGCAAAAGCAAAAGGACATGATGGCGAAAGCAAAAGGACATGATGGTGAAAGCAAAAGGACATGATGGCAAAAGCAAAAGGACATGATGGCGAAAGCAAAAGGACATGATGGCAAAAGCAAAAGGACATGATGGCGAAAGCAAAAGGACATGATGGCGAAAGCAAAAGGACATGATGGCGAAAGCAAAAGGACATGATGGTGAAAGCAAAAGGACATGATGGTGAAAGCAAAAGGCTTGGACGTTGCCGGCTTTGCAACTCCATTTTATGGAGTTCACTAAAATATGCTCGTTGTATAAGCTTGCTAAGCAGGAGTTTTGGAAAAATAACCCGTCTAAGAACCCAAATAAACAGGATCAGCATGGGCCGATCTAACTAAGCAACCAGCTTGTGACGCTTCACCCGTACTAGCATAGCATTGCGAATCTGCTGCTTTGCAACGAGGCTCTTCAACGAGCCGTCGCGAGAAGGAGCCGATTGGCGGTCTGCGGCTCACACACCACCTCGTTGCCGGCTCAACCCGAGGCGGCTCGTTGCCGGCTCAACCCTAGGCAGAGTTGCCAAACCAGTTTTCGGTGTCTCCAGGATAAGCCAACACGAGCCGGCTGAGCAAGAGCCTGAGGCGTGACTCGGACAAGCCGAGCCGCGGCCCAACCACTTGCTCAGGCCTCACGCTGTTAGTGTTAGGCCCCAATCTCATATTTTGTACTTGTACTTTCTTATATCCTAGTTTAGTGTAGTTTGCACTTTGTGTTTGGTTGGGTGTACACCCACATCCCAACCAAACCCAATTGCGATCTCCAAGCAATCTCCAACCCACCAATTGGAGATTGCCTTGGGATTACCCCCAATCCCTAGAGATTTCCCCAGATTCCTTCCCCATCCATCTCTTGCTCATTCTGGATGTACTTAAAGAGCTCCAAGCTCAATACTAGTGTATGGATTCTAAGCTCAAGTTCTG